ATGCTCTTCTTCTCAACAAAGTTCATAGCACTAGTCTACTTTCCCAGTCGGACGACTTTCCAGACGACTTATTCATAAGTCGTCTGCTTCTGGAGTAAAGTAAATACCTGTCTTTCAATGGCATCTTTAAAATTCCGTCCTTTGCCACCCTTGTAAGCTAGTATCGGTGGAGAGCTGTCTTCTATGGGCGGACCATAATTAGCACCCAATTCCGGCAAAGCTGTGTACACCCAGACCTGGAGAACTTGTACAAACCCATCAATGGTGTAAGAACCAGATAGATCTTTGCCCTTCACAGAGTCCATCAACACCTTAAACGCGACTCTCCCCCATGGATAATTCTCAAACCGTTCTAGATCCATCACTAGCCTAGCCAGAGAAGCCCGTGTATGGGTTGAAAACTTCCTCCCTTCAATGTATCCAGCCGAGATGGCAAGGTACCCGAGCCGCTTGCGATCATCCGAAAACCAGTTTTCGCATCTCCCAAATGCTTCTATTAACTGATCAGTAGTTGGTCCAGCTTCGACATTAACTCCCAACAACTCCCAGAAAGCAACCAACTCCTTTGTAACAGGACAGTTTGGTCTCTCAAGGTCCTGAATGTACTCGCAGTTTAGACCAGTGAGGTATTCAAACTCGAGCAGTGAAAACCTCAAATGTTCTGGACCAGCAAGACTCCACAGCTCATACTTCTTCTTTATGTCGAGCTGGAAACAGAGTATGTAGTGAACCAGCCTTGAAGCCCATTCAAAATCGAGCTCTTGGAACTTGATGAAAACTCCCAACTTAGACTCCTTCAGCTCTTCATATTCTTCATCCTTAAGAGCTTCCCTTAGAGCAGCATACAACCTCATTTGAGGATGATACGTAATGCTATGCTGAGCGATAGGCTCTTGCCCTAGTGTATGTATCCTACGGGGGAGTTCGGGAATATTCTGCAAAAAAAATCAAAGAAAATCATCTCAAACACACAACCATCCAGTATAACATTTTAATTATAAGTCTGGAAGACTTTCCAGACGACTTATAATTAAGTCGTCTGTCATGTCTTCCAGTCGAAAGACTTATATTAAGTCGTCTGGAAAGTCTTCCAGGTGGAAGAGTTTCCAGACGACTTAATTATAAGTCTACAAAGACTTCCAGTAGAACATTTGAAAGTTGACCTGAAAATTCTGAGAAGATGTACTCGCCTTCGACATAGCGGTTATAGAACTGCAAAAATAGACGTGAAAAAAGAAGCGCGATGAGAACGACAGTAACCGTAAAATATCCCCAATCTTTGAAACCCTAATTTGAAATGAAAATATCCACAAATTGCTTGAAATCACAAATAGTAACCGTAAAATGAGAGGAAAACAACATCCAACCTAACTAAACAACAATTTTTGAAACCCTAATTTGAAACCAACATTTCCCGAAATCATTGAAAACGCAAAACCAAACGGTAAAAGTAAAGGAAAACAACATCGATCCTAATAAAAACACATTAAATCGGCAAGAGAAGCCTTCGATTTACCTTGGTCTTGTATCGGATCGAAATCGCCTCGAAATCACCTTTGAGAGAAACGGCGTTACGGTTTTCTGAATTTCGCGAAAAGTGAGTAAAAAAAAAAACTTCTTATATATGTCTGGTAAAAAATCCGGTTCGGTTTAAAAGTAATTCGGTAAAATCCGGTTTGGACGACTTATAATTAAGTCGTCTGTTGATACTATAAGACGACTAAGTCGTCTGCCTTATTAAATATATTTACCAGACGACTTAATTATAAGTCGTCCAGACCCTAAAACCTAAACTAAGTTGACTAAATTAACTAACTAACCACGTTATAAAATCCTAAAACCTAAACTAAGTTGACTAAATTAACTAACTAACCACTATATATAGAAATAAACACATTTAAGAATAACTATACCAGACGACTTTTAACTAAGTCGTCTGGACGACTTAGTTGAAAGTCGTCTGAATAGAATACTTACGAGGTTAGATGACTAATAATTAAGTCGTCTGACAAATCTTCCGGCTGATGACTTTCTAGAAGACTTAAATATTAGTCGTCTACTAAGTCGCCCATGCCTTTTCGAGTATGTTTTAAGAATTTGTGTTAGAATTTGTGTTAGACTTCTTAGACGACTAATAATTAAAATTGGTTTGTACATAGAGGACAAAAGGAGTTGTAGTTATAAAAGTTGATCATCCATTACAAGTCATAGGTTTAAAAACAAATTGAAACAACGGAACAACAACATAGAAGTCCACTAGAAGCAGATTACAA